CTCCGGCCTAAACAGCCCCAACGCCCTCAGCCTGTCCTTGTAGGCGAGGCGCTCCAGCCCTCGGATCATCTTCATGGCCTCCTCTGGCCCTGCTCCAACACATCCATGTCCTTCCTATGTTGGGGGCCCCAGAGGTGGATGCAGTACTCCAGGTGGGGTCTCACGAGGGTTCAGAGGTTCCTTACACCTTTCCATACTACTTCCAATCGTAGCGTACTTCGGCTGCTCACGCAGGGAACAGCACGAAGTGTTTTAAAAGCCTTCTGTTTCCGCCTTTGCTTTCCAGATTATTTCCTCCCTTACTGCACATTCACAAAGTTTTAGCTGAACTGTAGCATTACACGAAGCGAGTTACAACTCTGAAATAATCTCCAGAACACTGACTGCAACTTTTCCAAACCTCAGTGTAAATTAACATGAATAAGCAGAGATCATTTCAGATTCTCAGAAAAATTTCTCTGTGTAGAGCCCGGCAATACGCCAGGGAGAGCTCGCCTCCCCTCCATGCTGCCACCCACCAGGCCACTCCAAAGGAATGAGACTTCTGCGCAGCTCTTGCAGCACACCTTTGTGTGTGTCCTTCTGCGCATGTAAGTTTGCTTCATGTAAAATTCCCCCACCCCTCCAGACCGATTTCATTAAACCTACTTTACAGTGAGAATTCACTCACTGACTTCAGTTTCTATAGACTATTTCATTACAGAATTATAACCAACTACTCTGTTTCATTTCCAACACTTTAATGATAGAAATTAGACTTATTCAGAGCTAATTAAGTTGAATAAATACGTACCAAAGGTAAGGTACTACCTGTCAGATTTTTTTAGATCCACCAAACATTTTCACTAAAATTAATGCAAGTTTTGTCATCAGCATGTAAGTGGCAGAATTCTTTTAATGCTACCTAATTTTTTGCTTTGAAGTCCAATCACAGTTTAAAAATCCAAATACTAATAAGCACATTTATAACCACCCACATTTCCCCAATTTCTATAAGTAAACTATGGTCAAGTAATTAAACTTTATATTATAGAACACCCATTAGACAGCATTTAGAACAGCGTCCACTTTCAAACCCCAGCACAAGACGGGCACTGATGAACTGCACTGAGCTCAGCAGAGGGTCCCCGAGAGGACCAGGACCCCAGCGCCTGCCCTGCGATGGGAGGCTGTGGGAGCTGGGAATCTTTCAGCCCGGAGAAGAGACGGATACAGCAGGACCCGCAGCTGCCCACTGGTACCTCCAAGACGGTTACTGAGAAGGCAGTGCCAAGGTCCTCCAAGTGGTGAGTGATCAGAGGACAGGACACAACAGAAACTGAAACAAACTAGATTCCACCTTGATTTAAGGGGGTAAAAAAACCCAAAGCAAAACTATTTTTGCACTGTAACGGCAGTCAGGCAGTGAAAACAGGGCCCAGGGAAGTTGCAGTTTCCATCCTCAGAGGTTTTAAGACCCAGCTGAACAAAGCTTTGAACAAGGCATTGAACTAGAGACCTCCTGAAGTCCCTTCCAACCTGAGTTAGTCTATGCCTGTGTGATCTTCAGGCAACAGACAAGATTAAGGTCTCATTTAGAAGTACCCATCAAATAAGGACATGCCCTCCAAGACGTGGACTCCTCTATATCAAAAGAGCAAACAAGTTATCAAAAACATTTAAAAAGGACATGAAATATTTCCTTTTATAATATTATTTCTTTTTCTGTCAAATTGTAGAAGCAACTTCTGGCAGCCTCCCAAAGCAATATTGCCATGAAGAATTCAAAAACATACTCCATCACAGTCCTAAAATAGCTACAACTTTCTCATTATCTTGGAGCAGCAGTAGTCCTTCCACACAGGGAAAAATCTTGCAAGTAGTTTTCCACTGCAAACACACTCTATTCCCCAGTATCAGCCATATGTACTCCTATATTTGCACAAAAATCGAAAACCATACAAACTTCACGTTTGTCAGCAGCTGAACAGAAGTACAATTACTCTGCAAATTTAAAACAAATCAGACTACTTTGTTTATGATATTCTGCAGTTACAAACAGTTGAACATTCTTCCCTGAATCTAGAACAGCGAGGAGACAAAGCAATTTTACTGGATTTACCTTAAACTAACAAACAAAGCTTTGTTAAAGTTATCAGAACTTAATATAGTAACACTACCAAGAAATGTAGGCTCTGATGATCTTACAACAATCAAACTACTTGGGATCTGTATTTTCATTAAAAATGATATTTATATTTCCGCTTCCTAGGATTCATGGGAGTGGAGGCACAACAACATTTGAAAGGGTAAGCACTGAAAGCCAGATTTTAAGAAGTCAGTTCAAGGATCCTATCTGCTTTTTACAAATAAATGTTGACAGACACAAGCATGTCTCTACACAGAAAATCTAAATAAATTTTAAAATATGTAAATAAGCTTTTGAGAGTTAAGAAATCTAAAATGACCAGCTACTCTTTCCTTAAGGTTCTTTACTGCCAACAGGTTAGAGGATGCATGCAGCACAGCTTGGAAAGAC